TATATTAGCTGCGACACATGAATCAAGATGCTATGACCGAAAACATCTGATTGACAGATGACCGTTGAATTTAGGTGATCAGGCTGACGTAGAACTAACTGGCCTGCAGAAGATAACGGAAAAACACAGATTTTAAGACAGGAATTAATTTTTTTCTAAACTTTTTTCTAACTTTTGGGAAAATCTAGTCTGATAAAGAGGATTTATATCCATGTTTAAGCCAGAATGATTTGACATTTAAATATGACTTCCCTACAACTTTAAGCCTCTCTTCTCCCTGACCTTTGAAACCATTATTATTATAGTATTATTATTAATTTCAAATAATATCCAGTAGCTTTTTTTGTGTTTTATGTATTCCATGACTTTATTGTAAGGCTATTTCATTTATTTTATGTTGTTGATCTGTTCTGCAATGGTGCAGCTTTCATCATGCAGACCTGGCTGTGGTAGTACACCTCAGGGATTGGCTGTTTGGACTCTGAGCCCGCCCTCCACCTGCAGGCCTCCCATTGGAGCTCCCAACCACACCTGCTGAGCGACTGCCTGACCTTTAAGAGGCTGTAACAGAGAGTCATTGGATGGGGGCAGCTCTGATAGGCGCACTGTGTTTGCCCCCATTTGTCCCCCATTCGTTTAGGTTCTTTGGAAACCTGTTTTTCTGTGACTTAGCGTCGCGTCTCTGACTGCAGATGAAATCCGTTTGCAGGTTGTGAAATTTATTTTTGGCAGGTTGGTGTTTTCTAAAAATCTGTTTAGTGCTTCTGTTGCCGTTCTCTTCGGTCTAACAGTCAATTTAAAAGCAGCTGGTTTTAGTTAGTAATTTAGTTTTTTTTTCTCTCTTTTTGTGCTGCTTAATGCATTTGGCACCTCTTTGGTTCTAAACATTGTTAGCAAACTCTTTAACATCCGAACTCAATTTCAAAAATGGCAAAGCTAATGACAATAATCTTATATTAATTTAGGTCCAACTATTTTTTAATTTCTCTATAGTTGTTTCCTTTTTTGTGTTATGAGTAATAAACAGAGTAATCTAATCTCTGTATCACACTGATGGGAGTTATGTCAGGTTTCAATATCCTTGTAAGGCTCTAGATCAGGAGTCTTCAATGTTTTCCAGGTCAAGGACCCCAAACTGATGCTGAGATGAAGCACAGACCCCCGTATTATAGATATAGTATGAAATAGTGTTCTATCAAACAGGTTCTATAGTCACTCTATTACAGATGGAGTAATGTAACTAAAGTAATCCCTCCCTGGGATTATTAAAGTATTT